TCATATTTGGGGTAAATGATTTCCATCACGCGCTGTCCGTTGCATTCTGGAGTTTTTTGTTGACTTATACTGCCGTAAACTGTAAGTTTTTCGTGGCCCCATGGTTACCTTTTCCTGTTTAGGCTTGGGCAACCTGGCAGTATCCCAGCCCTCATGCTTCCTTTGGTTGGCGTAGCAGCTAGACGCCAAAGGGATGCTACAGCTGAATAATTATTTATTATTATAATTCGTAGATTATTTCAGGTTCGATAAATTTATTCTCTTCAAATGGTCACTGCACGTTTGGAGGTTGCTTACTCAAGGGGAAATACAGTGGTGTTCTTGGGCCAGTGGATCCGTTGACTTCATGTCAAGTTTTCTAACATTGTGGATAGTATTAAGTTCACTGCGAATAAGGCAATCATCTGGCTCTCACAGCCCCCGATGGCGGTGTTCTTTTATAGACTAGGAAACTATATTCTCAATTTCTAATCTCCTTGCTTAAAGGCCAAGTAAAAAATAAGTGTTATGGTTAGTGAAATTATCGTTCGCTATCTACTTTGGCTAATAATCAGGATTGATGATTTCACCGCTTTCAGCCAACTCTCCTCTTTTCTTCCTTTCCTTGCGCTCTGTGAAGCTGGATTGAGGCACCATAAGCTTATTTTACCGTTCGGTTTCAGTGATTGCATGAAGAAGACTGACTCTCGCAGCGGTCGTTTCGTGATTGCCTGTGATGGTTCTGAGCTGTGGACTTCGAGTTTAACTACCTTTGCTTCTTTCTGGCAGCATGCATTTGTTGACTTGAGAGGGAATGACGAGCAGCAAGAACAAAGCTCTCGTACAGCATTTAAGGTAATTTCCATGTTTCCTTCAAAGAAATTATTCAATGGGTTGCTCGAAACTCTTCGAAACTCTTCAACCCATTTCGCCCTTCATGTGGCTTATCGAGTGGAATGCAGTCTCCGAGTTTCTTCCATTCTGACGTTCTGGTTGAACGTCAGGTGTACGAACTTCCACAAGTACTCATTTCACACCAACTGAAAAATGAGATGGCCTTTGTGCAACACATTCAGTTGGACAATATTATAACAGAAGCTTCCGCTAGGACTCATTTTCCCCTGTCAAAATCAAACCGCTGTGGAAATGAGTGTAGCTCTTTTCGAACTATCCGAACTCCTCCATTTATTGTCCTTAGCATGCTTCGGCCGCCCTTCATTTTCGTTTCCTCTTTCTTTTCAATGTCTTCCCTACTTGTCTTCATCATGGAGCTTTTGTATGCATTTTCACCAACACGCCGATTCCATTTCAACAGTGCCTGCATTAAGCATCGTGGCATGCAAGACGGACAGTCTGCAGTGACCTGTCAAAACACTGAACTTTGGGTGGTACAGTCAACTTCTCGTTCTGACCATCAGCTTTGGCAGCAGGCTATGGTCGACTTAGGCTCTCTGGAACATGAGTCTGCTGATACAGGATACAAGGTGTGTTTCATTCACGCTTCCTCCTGTGGCTCATTTGGGTGGTAAGCTGATTTCACTGCATACCGGTGGAGCGCAGAAACCTCATGACATTCACTTGCTGGTTTCCTAACGGATCGGTGCTTTTGCTTCGGTCATTGAAAAACTGTTCGCTATTCAGGGTGTTGGCTATCCATATTTTCCTTCCATTTGCTTGCAAGTTGTCCAGTAGACTTTCAGACATCTTCACCACCTGCATCTCATGTGTTAACTGTGAGCACAAAACGGTTGCATCTTTAGGGCATTTTCGTTACCCCTTTCGGTTCACTCATAGGCCTGAATTCCAGTCATCCTTAATTTCCAATTCAGCGTCGGTATCGATCCATGCATGAATAACTATGTGAATAAATACGTGACTGCCTCTATTCTGTTCTACGTCTGTCCATTCACGTGACATTTCAACGGTTTCCTGTTGTGCGCATGCGCGCGCCGCCCATACTGTCGATGCCCGTCCGATATGAATATTAGTCATTCGCTCGTCTAGAGACCATTTGCCGCAGCTTGACGTGTGCTGTACCAGTCATCTGGCAACTCCGTCCAACTACACCTTTTCTCTTCGCCTGGTCGATAGCTAGTTGAACGATTCCACCATGTTTCATCGGTCTGTCTCTTTTTTCTTAGTTAATTACCCCTTTTGTCTGTGCCTGTTTCCCCTTGGAACAACTTCGTACATATTTTTGTTGCATGTGTTTCTGACATCCTGATTTCTTCACAGTCTCTGTAGCTTCTCCAGAGACACACACCGCACCTTTAAAATAGAAAAGAGTTGCCTCAGATGGGTAATTTGTAAATTTTGTGTGATGAAATGAGTAATAAGAAATACCAATCCTGAAGGGCTTAATCTGAGGGTACAACCGTGAGTCCAATTGTCCTGTGTGTTTAGTTGTTCACCTGTTTGTTAAACGCTTACTTGCACTATTTGATGCGTGGAACATACGGTCAGATATTTTCAGTCGAATATCGGTTATAGTCTTAAAAATTACAATCATGAGGGTGCATAGTAATATCGGTGAAGCATGTTCTAAAACCAATTTAGGATGCTAATGCGGGATTTTGCGTAGTCCACACATGACGTACGTTGACTCAGGACACAGCAGTCTGTCTGACAAGCACCTTGCAGAAGTTAGTAAAATAGAAAACCTGACGGCGTCTCTATTTCTGGTTTGGGTGGCGGAGTCGACGGCATTCCCTGTGTTGTTTATCACAACTCACGTGGTCACCCACTTACCGTCCGCCATCGTAACTAGTATCACTTTTGTATCCTTAGACATATTCGGCTATTTCGCACAACTGTGCAGTCAGAAATGTTTGATGCAAATTGGAGGCTTGTAACTTCTCACCTGGACAATAATGAGTAAACACCTATGCGAAAGCTTTGACGCGTCTGTTGACCTGCGGTCCATATGTCAGCCGGTCACAATCACAGCTAAGGGAATTTTTTTTCAGCAACACAAAGCTTATTCGAGACCGTCTGGCTTGGACTGTGAAAGGTAGGACTGTGTTCTGAATAGTGAAAGAAGTCTGTTGCAAAATCACTGCCTTGTACAGAATTTAGAATTCACCTGTCCGACTGGTGTGGCTACCATGACTATGCAGCTCCACTCGTTCGACTCATATCTGATGACGTTTCGTGAAAAAGAAGGTATAAGTTTTAATGGAATTATCTCCTCCTTCTAGTCCATTTTATCATCTTTCTGTCTGATATAGCGCCAGTGCAATTGCTTTGTGCCGGTGGATTGCAATGTCTAAACCTTTGTTGGATTCAGGGAACACCGATTATATTGACTCTTCCTCGATTGGATCGGAACATTTCGTTCCGGATTAGTTGTTTTCTGCTTAGGTTCTTGCAATTTTCTCACCGAGGCGACCCACTGCTCAGTCACTTCTGAACATTACTGCCTGCTGTGAATGTGATGGTTACGGTCACACCTGGCATTGGGAACCCATTAGCCGGGTGGACTTTGGATGTGTTTTTCAAGGGCTCTTTGGACGCTTTTCTTCTTTCCTGTATGTAATGTCTATTCGAAGTGGCTATCTAGGCGATGGTTTGCGGTGATTTGTGGTTCCCCTTGTTTTCCCTTCAAATCACATGTTCGTTTCACAAGGTCCTATAACCTCATTTCGCCTATTAAGGAAACGACTGTATGCTGGGGACATTTCTGAAACATTTCGTGTTTCGTGTACTCTGACCTGAGACTAGTCAACGGACAGTAGTGGAATGTCATTGGTTGTTCGATGAGGTTGATCTCAGTAGTTTCTTCCGGTTGTATTCAAAACCGTAGCTCTTCTCAGGCTGGGCCGCTCTTCTGAATTATTCTTCGTTTTCGAGTTTTCTTACTCTAATCATCTTTCAAAACTTGATTACAAACCAGAAACCCACCTTCGTCCTTTCTTCAACAGCGCTTGCCAGCGCACAAGGCTTCACGATACGGGCGATCTGGCCACACTCTGGTAAGCCTCATTCTCCTCACAAGACAGTCCTATTCCTTACAGTGCGAGTCGACCACTCTGGGAAACCAAAGAAGGGGTTCAACAGGCGGGATACTGGAAGCAGGTTTCCATCTCGCTGAACATAGGAGAAGGCGAGGAGAGAGATTATAAGGTGCATTACCATATTTAAAAGTGTTTTATTGATCAGACTAGTTGGGCTGATTTAATCCTCGATGAACGCCGCACATTAGTAGTCTGGAGGGACGAAGATTGATTCAGTATATGTAGAATTCGAGTAGATGTAGAATTCGAGATCGAATTGTCGGCGCACCGCTCCAGTTGGCGGTAGTCAATGGTGTAGACGAATTCCGTAGTTGTAGTCCCGTCAGTCTGTGTGCGCAGATCTCAAGTGATAAAGAGTTGCAGACAGCCTTGGTTCTTAATGACAGTTTTTGTCACTTTTTGCTTCCTCGTCCTTTCCTTACTCCAAATCCTTGATTGACCTTATCTGAACAAATCTATCACAGTTGACTGACTTTGTCTTGATCCACAGAGCGTGCATGAACCAAAAGCAGCAACATACTGGACGTGTTGGCCTGTTCTGGTAGGTTGTCTTTTCCAAACCCAAAACTCTACTTGGGCACCCAGTGTGAATGAACCTATCTGGGAGGCAAAGGGAGCACTGGCCGCAACTGTGGTGTGGCAACAAGCCTTCGTATCCATATTTTCACCAGATCAAAGCGACTATAAGGTACTTAGTGCGCAATACACTTTTTGGTCTGTGCCGCTGTGAACTAGTGGTAGAATGCAGCTTCCTTGCTGACAAATGCTCAACTTAACCAGCCTGCTGTTGCATCCTTTCGTTTCTATCTTCTACTTCCTTCTTACTACTATTTATTCATGTACTTGCGATTTACTGACTGATTTCATATAGATGTGCCTCCATAAACTTTCTTTCACAAACGGCTATAGGGCTTGTGAACTAATTCGGCGAGAAGAAACAGGTGCGCTTGGGACGTTTTGGTATGTGCTTCTCTTTGTTCCAGAACACATTTCACTTGTCTAGTTCCAATGTGCCAATTTGGCAGTCGGGCGCGGAAGTTCAAGCGACCAGCACAGATTGGCTCAAAGCCACGGTTGACTTACACTTTGAACGAACCGAAAAGCCAGATTACAAGGTTGGTTGGTAGGCTGGTTTGCGGTCCACTTGGTTAGTTCAGCTTCATACCTTTACAGACTAATCGGTTCTTTAATCCCTGTATACGGAACTGTGTTTAAATACTGTCATTCTCACATCATAGCAAACCACATAGAGATCGACTGCCGGAGTCTAATACTTGCACCACTAATTCTCGGTAAAAATATGGATCATTAAGCATGGCTTTGCTCGCTACACTTTTTCTCAGTGAATGTTTATCCAGCTGGATCAAACCTACATTTTCTACCGCCTATGTGTGCCATCAGAGCTCTTAGTTTGCTCCGTAAGAAGATAGACTTGTCTGCGAACTGAATTCACTGCTCACGAACTGATTTATTGAGGCGTGGCCATCCCAGCTATCACTTATAGATTCATACTCTTTCCATAGTTTTCTAATCAGTCCCTTTTAACCGTCCCAAGAAGGCTGATTTTTTATGACCCTTGTACTGTAGCCATCTACTTGTCTCATGAGTGTGACCAGGGAAATAATATGTTTGTAGTTCATAAATCATCTTTCAATTTGCACCCCCAATGCCCCTTATGACCACAGGTCCAGGCTGATGCATCTTTTGACTCTGCTTATCGTTGAAGGAAGTAAAATCACGTTGAGCTAGTTTCTGCAGGAAATTTGTGTACTGAATTCCATCTCACAAGCGTTGAAATGAAATTTCGCACATGTCACACAGCTCTTGTGGGCTGACTAGTTCTATTTAGAGTCCTGGCTGTTGACTTGGTCATCCCGCAAACTGCTTCTCCCATTCCATTGGTTTGCGATAACGTTTCCTTTCCCTCAAAGTTTAGGACTCCGCCATTCAAACCTGGCTAATATCGTTCTCTATTCTTGTTGTTGTGTGAGTGCGTGTGATACTTTACTTCTTCCTCTTCTGTCAGACTGTTCTTTACCTCTTTGAGTTCAGCACCTCACTATGCCCTTGTTTCATCATATTCCAGTGATTGCCAACGCAGTCGGGAATCGAAAACAGGTGGCATAGGAACGTACTGGTATGTGTTAGAAATAGCTTCGATAGCAGCCTGAAACCTTTTCACAGTTCTAGCCAACCAGTATGGGAAAGTCCAGTCATCGCCGGCCGGACCGAATCTGACGGTGCTTCTTGGCTGACTGCAACTGTACCACTGAACGTCCCATTGAAAAGTGACTACAAGGTTCGTGTTTGCTTCAGCTTCGAGAAACTGGATTCGCTGTATCTCGCTCGTTTTAAGGTCCCCTCTACCTTCTCGTTCCGCGTCATTCATTTGGTCGCAGGAAACCAGTCACAGCTGCGATAGAATCGAATAAGTCTGCTGAATTAATTACCAAGACCTCGCCCCCCACCATTTTTATTTGAAAGCATTGGACAAGTGCATTTTTCACTGGAAAACGGTTGATTCTTGGCTGCTGCAACTGTACCACTGAACGTCCCATTGAAAAGTGACTACAAGGTTCGTGTTTGCTTCAGCTTCGAGAAACTGGATTCGCTGTATCTCGCTCGTTTTAAGGTCCCCTCTACCTTCTCGTTCCGCGTCATTCATTTGGTCGCAGGAAACCAGTCACAGCTGCGATAGAATCGAATAAGTCTGCTGAATTAATTACCAAGACCTCGCCCCCCACCATTTTTATTTGAAAGCATTGGACAAGTGCATTTTTCACTGGAAAACGGTTGAAAATGCCATTTATGATTGACGGTCTTATCGAACATTACACCAATAAACCAATGCATAGTTGATATTCTTCGGACCCGTGCTATCTTCGAAACTGTTTGTTTCTTTCACTTTGTTTCACTTTCACTTTCTTACATGGTATTACAGTAGTCCTCAAACCAGGATTATTTCTGTGCCGTTTCCTCAGAGCTTGTCAGTTAACCACTCACTTCGAAACTGGCAAACTGGCCACGTTATGGTAGGTATTCAGTAACGTAAAGCTTACCAACGCAGTTCGAACGACCCTATTTGGAATTCAAACACGAGTCTGAAAAGCGCCCATCAATGGACCGTGACTTTTGTTGACTTGTACACTGAGGATATGAAGGACTTCAAGGTTTGTACGCAGTTCATCCACTTACCACACTACTTGTAGGTGTTACTTGTTTTCGTTGACGTTCTGATTTGGTAGTTCTACTCAATGTTGAACCAGCCATGCTTTGTTTGCAACAGATCGTTGCATTCGCCATCGACCGGAACGCCATATTGCTAACCTCTCTCTGTCTCTCTCTGAGGGACTGTATCGCACTGTGTGGTGGTGGCGAGTTTTCAGTCTGAATTGCGTTTCAGTACTTTCTTTTTTTATCCCGGCGGAAATAATCTATACCCCTGCCTGCTTAATCGATATCATACGGGATCCTTGTAAAGGATGTTTGCGCATCTTACTAGCTGTTTTCAGGCAAATTTTGTTTGCTGATTTCATTAAAGAGTACTCATTTATTGTTTCTAAGTACCAGGTCGAATTTCGAAAGGAACCTACAGCCGTAATGGAAGTTAAAGGCGATAGCCTTCGAACGTTACCAACCTTTCTTCTCTCAAAATCTGGCAATAATTTCATTGCTTGAGTTGTTCGGTAAAGTTTTTTCATGAACCTATACACCTTTTTAGAGCCAATTATTTTGCGAAATCTTGAGGTTTTCACCTCCGACGGAATTGATTGTTCAACGGACTTCATCGGGGTGACATTAAGTTATTATTATCTGATTGATTGATTATGAGATCTCAATCGACATTGCATCACACAGTTCAGTAATGAAACTACTGCTTAGGATTTTCATTCTTGTTTACCATCGTACATAGAATTCTGGCAGGAGAATTGAACCGGCAGTGGAGTTTAGCAATCTTTAAGTGACAGATCTCCATAAGCAATGTCGTGAACTTGTCACTCTTACTAAGCCACTCATCTAATGCGCTGATGTTAGGCAGCTCTCTCTCTCCTGTCACTCCCGTACGCGTATCCATTGTAGTGAAACTTCGCAATCCCATTGGTTTCATCCTTTGTTTCAATCAGTTCCTATATTTATAAGCTGTGACCGCGCTGTAACCACTATGGGGAAACCTGGTGCTCAGCCCTACTGTAGGGGAACTCCTTTCATGGTTAAGAACGAATGCTGTTTCGACCTATCTGAATAAAGTTACCTCTGTCCGGATAGTTCTCTGGGGAAGGATTGCGCTGGTCATTCAGGATTGAGTTGTCCATCTTTAGACACACGGTATTATCACTCGACCACTAAATGACCGTTCACGGTTGGTGTTACTAGTGATGACGAAGGTGACTGCCAAGGCATGTACACAAGATGGAACTATCTGCTAAAGACTTCGTAACGGTATACTCCGTCAATCTCGTCCCAGTGTATGATCCCCCTGAATAGTAACCGATACCTCTCCCAAGAGAGTGCGATACAGGAATCCCCAAAAGGAGAGTACCACTCGCGAAGTGAATGTCCTCGTCCCAGTGTACGATCCCCCTGAAGAGTAGCCGATACCTCTCCCAAGAGAGTCCGATACAGGAATCCCCCAAAGGAGAGTACCACTCGCGAAGTGAATGTCTGGTTTCAATCACTTCATTGACTAAGTTCTAATCTAAGCCATCAGCCACTACACAGTTGTGAGCATTCTTCCTTTCATTACGGCGCAAACAAATCTGTAGACACTCTAGCACAACCATTTCTGCGACGAGGTCACCGGCCATGATTGGTTCATGGTTCCCATTTCTTTTGTCTCGATTATAGAAAAAATGTCCTACAAGGTTGGTTCCGGTAGTCTCCGTTCCCCGTTATTCACAGCTATCTTCTCACGGGATGGTTATTTGATACGTGCATAGTTTGTGCGGATCGGAGAAGCGCAGTCATATCCCGCCGTGAGACTTTTGTACCACTGCTCCGTAGATCTGCTTTGTGTTATTCTTTCTCTGGGGCAATATTTCCAACTGGTGGCCCCAGTAAAGCATCACTTGATGTTTGACAATAATTAGTGACGAATATACAATGTTTAGCGGTTCCACTAGTCTTATGGATCTTTTCCGAAAAACTCTTCACTTCGAATTTACAGTTCTTTTTATAAAAAACATGATCTTTTTAATGGTTACCATGAATCTGATAACGTCTAGCTCTAGTTTTCGGGAGTGTTTGAAAACAGTCGGTAGATTTATTGCTGAGCAACGTTTCCCGTATGACATAAAAGCTTCATCAGTCCAAGTTACGAAGTCGGTCGAGATTTAAGGTGGCCGGAGAACCAATCAAATTAGTCAGGCTAAATCTCTTTTAGGGGTATACTTTTTAGTAAGGGGCTCTAGAAGTGCACACTGTGCTTTGAAAAACAATCGATCGCATTTATTGGATTTAAAAAATGAAAGTTGTTGTCCGTTCCCTGGTTGAAAGTTATTCATTCTAGTTTTCGCTCCTTCCACCCGGTAGTGACGAGTATTGCTCAGACTGTTATGTTGGTCGACGTTTGTTGACGTATCTTACCTCCATAATTTTCCCTTCATTCTGCTGTTTGGTTTATTCACCCATGCACGCCTCACGTAAGTAAGTGAAGCAGTAACGAGTATTGCTCAGACTGTTATGTTTGTCGACGTTTATTGACGTATCTTATCTCCATAATTTTCTCTTCATTCTGCTGTTTGGTTTATTCGCCCATGCACGCCTCACGTAAGTAAGTGAAGTATCGTGTCTTTTCCTCGACTGCTTTGAACAGATCATGCGAGCGCACAAAACACTATCTGACTGGTGACACAGCTATGCTATGGTGGGTTCATTGAAGTCTCTTCCTCTAATCCTTATCAGTTCAAGCACGACAATTTGGGATTCGCGGAGCTTGACTTATTCTCATAATGAGTGGACCATTAACCCTTATCAGTTCAAGCACGACACTTTGGGATTCGCGGAACTTGACTTATTCTCATAATGAGTGGACCATTGTCTCGATCAATCTCGTGTCAACGACTGACTACAAGGTAGGATCTTGAGCTTCCCGGTGCTGTATCATTCCATCGCATTCATCAAGCCTATAGCTCATACCGTGTGAAACTAAATTCCCCGGAATATAAATCAGCTCTGCTCTCGATTGACAATGATGTTCACTGATCCCCACTTGCAGTATTTTTCTGTCACTAAGTGGCATGGTGCGCACAGTACGTCACATCATAGGTTAGTACAGGGAAGTATAGGGTTGTACGACGTACTGGACTGCGGCAACTCATCAGCAGCGCGTGGTTAGTATTCGCCAGCATGTATTGTTCATGGCATTATAACTTTTTCAGATAAGCCCATTGGTCTTTCATTTTCTTTTGTCTTCCGCAAATTAGAATATCTCGATTCTTCAAGTCATTTTTCAAGGCACCTGTTCCCTTTCCTTATGAAGAATTTTATTCTACAGCGGGAAGCGCTATTAGGACTGACCTTCAAATGAGGACAATACTCAGGTTTGGAAGATATTCAAACTTCAAGTAAATAACACGAAATCCTCGCCTCCAACTTTTACCATGCACCTATATTTCCGGTGTTTTGTCCATCTTGGTATCAAAGATCCTACTTCCCGTATCTATTGGCCTTGTCCCACATATTCTGAATGGTTTGAATTCCGAACTTGGCATTCACAATCGAATCCGATAGAGAAGTCTTGATCCGGCTAGTGGGGCATTACGGATCCAGGCGATGCCACGTTGAACTATTCTTTTTCCTATTTGCATTCGGTGAATAAACGAAAAGAGCTGATTGTCAGCTGTCCGGTGTACAGATTGACTGTTTTTTCATCCTGATTTAACCTACTTGGAATTATTCTCCTTAAAAAATGAACCCTCAAGTCATGAACATCCTCTATTGGGATGATTTTGCTAGATGAGCAAGATATTGTGACCAGATCACCAAATAGCTGTTTAGGGTGGATCATAAAATTTCCGTCCATGAGGACGAAGAAACATTCCAACTTTTTAATGCGAGTTCGAGCTTTACGTAACCGTTATCTAGAAATTTGGATCGAGTTATCTTTTCCAGTGGTTTTCAACTTTCGGTTAACTATTGTTCACTCGTCCGTCTGCTAGGAAAATTGTAGCTCGGTCTGCCAGTCCGACCACGTTTGTGAATAATCAGTCTCGTTCGTAAGGATTAATCCTCACAAAATACACCGTCTGAATTTTCGGAATTTTCTGAAACTCTTGGTAAGGCTGCCTGAATTAGACTAAACCGTAAGCAGTAGTTTAATCTTACATCAACCGAAACTCTCATATCATAGACCGCATGTTTTCCATATTTACTTATCTTTTTCTCTTTCATTCTAACTAAAACATTCCGCATCTTGTTTAAGTTTGTCTGTACCATTCAAACTCAAAATAATCGCCAAACATGTGTGCAGTTCCTGTCGACAGGTAATGGATTCGGAGTCTGGTATGCCATCCGTCCTTTGGTAGGTCGAGACTTTATGTAAACTAGATTCATAGCGCGAATCAGCCGATCTGGAGAAGTGCGGACGGCCCGCCGTCTACTCAATGGCAGACTGCTCTGATTAGTTTGGAGACTTCACACCAGTCGGACTATAAGGTGTGTATTGTGCGTCACATGTTTTCTTACGTCAATCAGTTGTTCTGTTTTCCATTGAAGCAAAAATGCGATACCCACCACTTTGTTTGTTGGAATACCCTCTCTTCATTTACCCTATCTTTGTTCCTCCCTTTCTTTCTTCCATTGCCATTTCGCCCCTGTTGTTTACTCTTCATTATAACCCCATCCTGATTACCACAGAGCTTGTCGTCAGGACGTGGGCATCCACACGGGACTACCATCGGTGGTGTGGTAGGTTCTTTTTTACGTACCAGGTGAACACTTCTCTCCATGTAGTCCAAACGATTTAGTGTGGAAAACCACACACGATTCGAGTGAATGGCACACCGCATTCATCGATTTTGCAAATATGTCCAAGAACAATGATTTCAAGGTGAGAACTGCCCCCTGAAAGCACACCTTTCCTCTTTCTGGTTAGCTTGTAGAGCATTTTACCGACCAGTTGTCATTTTGAACGACATAGTTAGTTTCACATTGTGAATTCGACGCAGATACTTCTCTGCTCCGTTTCTAGTGCACTAGCATCTCTTCATCCTTCGCCTCCTCATATCCAAGACTTTGTGACTCCTTGTTCCCTGCCATTTGACCCTCTTCAGTACAAATCACAACATAAACCGGTCGTTCGTTAGCCTTAATTTTTTCGCAAAATTGGTGGAACACTAGTTTTCCTTCATGTTTTCAGTGTTCGATTTGCTTTCGTGTTTTACGTGGCTGACCTCGAATATAGCTTTTCTGTGCGATTAGCTTGTTTGTCATGTGAGGAACACTATTGTGCTTCGCTCTCGTCAACTGTCTTCAGGTTTCCATTATCGGAACGTCCGAAACCAGACGCAGTTCTCTCCGCTGCCCCCATTAACTTTTAAGTTCAGTGACATTCCGGGTGCTATTGATCCGTCTCCGTTAGAGCCCACCATAGTTGTGCATTTCGCCCACAAAGTGTTTTAGCATCAATGTTTTTTTCGGCCGCTAATAATATTTAGTTAAGTTAGATGTAGAAAAATCGCAGGGACAATCGATCATGCGGTTTTAATGCTTGCCCGCCATGAAGCCAAGGGATTCGTTTCGGGTCATCGGATCAATCAGATCCATGATAGTCAATGGTAATAATCTGTGCATAGAGCTCACGCTTTGAAAACCTCTTGGTTGACTTTTACTCCATTGAAGTGGAATTTTATTACTTGAAACAACCGAGTGACTGGATTAAGTGAAAATATCCACTTGTTTTGACCCGTAATCCTAGTAGTTAGGTCGGTGAGTTTTAGCAATCCTGCGCCCACCTTGCGACGTTTGCTCGCTTGATTCCTCGGTTAATTCGTTCGTTTGATGGCGGATTCCATTTAGTTCTTCTGAATGACTTGCTTAGTCCCTACTTTCAAGACTTCGCACCTTGAGTATAGTTAAAAATGGTGTAATGGTGGACTATCCATCCACGTTTTCCTACTTCACACCACAGAATGTTCATGGTCCTGTTCAGTATGCCTTATTGTCTGCGGTTTGCACCGTGAACCTAGGTGACCATGATATGGTTATCATCAAACTCAAATCAGCTTAATCAACTGGGATGCCCGTTTGTCCAAACGGTAGAACTAGTTTGGATCATTTTTGGTCAAAAAAATTCGCTGCTCGGACTCGATATTTTCTGTTGATTCGAAGAATTTTGCATAGACAGCCGTGATTCGCCCCTGTGTCGATTTTCACTTCATCAATTACCCACGATTAAGTGTTAAGTCACAACATATGATGTGCGAAAACTCGAAAATGTGCGCCTCTGAAAGACAAACTGGCCCTCGGCCGTTTAAGCGTTTTTGGCAACCTTATGTCTAGTAGAAAATGTACTGCGATATCTTAAATATCTTACAAACTGAATTATGAGGCACATCCAACTGGATCTGTACACCGGGTATTACAGACATATATATGTTTGACGGCCTTCTTAGTATGATCACAAGACCCTGTTGATGAGCGATCGGAATGCAGATGGTGAGACGCGTCACTGATTCTTCTCCGATTGTATAGGGGAGAGCCTCTTTTCCAAATGTTTGAGGCAGCTGATGTCCAAAAATGCGTACGCACATTTGAAGGGACTCTCTGTAGGGTGTTTCATAAAGGGAAAACTACAGGGGACCTGAAACAGTCGTTTTTATGCATTTTTGGGGCTTTGTGCTTTGAAGAACATCAGTGTGTAACTGGCACGGAACAGTAAACACAGGTTTTGTACTGGGGACGAGAGGAAACTAAACACTCGGCTAGCCAATGGAATTTATGTGGAGGAAGTTGTCCGTCCGTAGTTATCAATGTCGAAAAAAATCGAATACAGCGCAGTTGACTTTGTCCAGAGATGGTGCAATGAAGCGAACACGGAAAGCCACACCAGCATCATGTCCACCGTGAATTATCATACAACCATTATTACAATTAAGCTGCTTTTTTTGAATTGCTCAGAACTGAACTGCTTTGTTTCACATTGGTAGCGAATTCGGTGAGCATCCAAAGCAATCAGCACCACTGAGACATTTCGGTGTTTTTCTACTCTGGTGGTAGAAAATCATACACTGACGAACAGCACAGCATCTACTATTGGGGAGAAGCTCTTGACGCACATTTTTCATTTCGAATGGAGATATTGTGTCACGAAATCTTGCCATTACTTATGGACGTGTATCATCCATTACGTTTTATCCGTTCGTCAGTCTCCGTAGCACCAAGTACGCCTAGGTTGTATGTAGGCGTACTGAAACACCTCACACGACTGAGATTCTAAGCGAAACTGACCATAAGTACGGTTACGTCACTCAACGACAGAAATGGCACCTGGTTCTGAATAACCTCCGACCGCTGTATTTTGGCTCCGTTGATGTGCCTGTGCATTCAGCTTCGATTGTAAACGCAATTCAATTACGAAACGGTCTTCTCAAGAGCAATATGTGAAAGCCTCAACCAACAGGCAATGACCGGTTCGGTTAGTTCAAACGGGATTGGCGTGACAACTTTCACAACGTCAAAACGAGCGATCAGCTGACTCGAACAAACACCCAGAAAGAGTCGCGGGAAATTGACTAACGCGATTCATCTGATCATCATAATTTGCTGAAAATAACGCGTAAAAATCCAAACAGAACAAATTTATTTTGTTAAGACTCTGCTTCCGGCTAACTCGACCTTACTCAGTTCAACTTCGTTACTTTCATCGCATACACTATATACTTTACATAGACTACATTGTCGTTGTCCGGGAGGATAGATATAGGCTGGAACCTTCACAAATGGTTTCCAGCCACACGCCATCGTTCCAAATGCAGCAAAATCCTTGATGACTGGAACTGTGCGGTTGAAGTTTTGTCTAAACAAGTCGAAAGCTTGCCGTGATGGTCACGGGAACCACTTACACACTTTCCGACAATACGTCATTGATATTACGGCTCTTAATGTACCCTAGTCATAACTCTTTCGCTTGATCTTCCAGAAGAAAAGGGAAGTTTACTTCCAGAGCGTCTCACTTTGGTTGTTATTATCAAGTGCGGTTACAGAAAGTACTCTAGCAACAATTCTCTGTTTGACACCATGTTGAAAATTAGGACAAGTACTGTGTTTGTATATGTCCAAATGTGTGTCATTGATAACCTGTTGAAGTAGTGTAACGTAGGCTTTTATCTGTGGGAACGGTACACTGCGATTTTATTTTTTTATACCAAAAAATGCCTTGTTTCATGTGAGTGGCAGTGTAAAATTCCATTCTAGAGGAATCTCAAATCGCGATCGCCGCTAGTCCTGGCCGAATCACCCATCCAATGACCCGTTGGTTAAGCACGAATTCACAGACGACTTAAATTAGGCTTTCAGACGAGGGTTAAGGTCTGCTCTTCATAACTCCATTGAAAAACCTAACGAACCAGACCCGACACCTCCCTTGTTTGCTTGAATCCTACTTCCTTTTCATATCCTTTTCTTTTCTGTCCACTGAGCGTGTCAAGTGGGATGTTTTTGGAGCAATGATAAGGCTTCCGTGCGGACGATTTCGTCCACTAACATAATATTGTGCCTTCATAATTCAACACATTGTTTTCAGGTCTTGTGAAAGCCAGAGCCAGAATTCAGATGGTACGAGTGTCCGAGTTTCTTGGTACTGTCATTTTATTTGATTGAAACAGCTTATCCTCATAGCTCATCTGATGTCCTTTGGCGTACTTTGGGTGTCCAGACTCCAACAGATCGGAAGGGTTGGCAGTCAGTGTATGTTTCGCTCGATCACGGCTCCGCCGACTTCAAGGTTAGCCAACCACGTCTGTTTCATGCTACAAATTGTTCAGATGATCAGGGGATAATCAATTTGATCTCTTTTATTACGGTTGATCCGTTAAACTTGCTACTGCTTCTCTATCTTCTTCAGACCATTTTTCCCATTGAAATTCATAGAATTACACACAAGAACTTATAAGTCACCATGAAATCTATATGAACAAATGAGGAACAGAAAAATTAACCGGGTGTGTTCAATTTTTCGAACGCATATTTTTCGTTTCATTCTGTGCGCACTGATTTGGCCAACAGCATCTGGTTGAATCAAACTGCCCTTTGTGTCTTAGTTAACGACCTCTGTCTCAGCATTGCGTTTCACGTGCTTTTCAGTACAGGTTATTTTGCATCCACCTTTTTTTTCAGTTTGGTTGTCAACCGCTTGAGAGAGCTGTTGCGATTCATCTGCAATCTACTTCCTGAGAACAATGGTGAAAATGCTGTTTGACCCTAATTTACTTTTTTGTCACACTGCCCCACGAAGTCTCTTCCAGTGTTATGCTCGTCGGATCCTGTAGGCCAGTGATATGCAGATTTTATATTTGACACGGCCTGTTCCTTTTATATTGAACACCAATCGCTCCCTGTGGCCCTTCGATTTTTGTGGAATTGAGTGGCTCTCATCTTCCATTCATTTAGTTGTGTGGTGTCCTTTGAGTATTAGCAAGTGTACCGGAAATCAATTTGATTGACACATCCAGTTGTCCTGGAGATTATCCTTTTTCGAACGTTCCGTTAAACTTAGTCCTTATGAAATAAGAGAACTTTTCCATGGGATTTCTTGAGGATGACACTTTTGCCGTGTTTCCTATATCTTGCACGGAAGTTTGTCAAATGTTGACTCTGGCTGATTGGGTTGAATATTGATCTGCTTGCTTGCTAACGCGTGAACTCGGCCGACCTCTTGCTCTTTGTGATCCTTATTCTCTCCTCTTCACTATTTCTTTGGTGTGCAACTCACAAAATTGCTAATTCTGCAACGGTCTATCCAGATCTTGTCGTACGGAAGTGGACCGTAAAACTGGGTTGCCATCAGTGATCTGGTAGGTCTTCTTGGCTCCTCATATTGAAATTCCGCCG